CAGCTATCCGCCATTACCCTTTTTATGACGAAAAGTGGATTTCTGATCACAAATTTCTGAGAAGTAGAGCCCTTAAATAAGTGAACTCTCTGAACTAGACAGAGCCGAACAAGAGACGGAGTCAGCATAGACGGACTCAGAGCTTCAAAACTTATAAGTGATACAGAGGGACGAAACATGGAGATGCGAGTGGCAAACTGCGCGGTGAAATTCATGGCGACTGAATTGAACGACGACAGTGTGTCACTTATAAGTTCCGAAGCTTTGAGCCCATATTTGAAGTAGAGTTGATTAGTAGGATTAGCTGACAGTAGAAATCCTCTTTAGTTCAAAACTGTGGCCCAATGATAGGCGTCAGAGTCGTCAAAATCTTCATGAATTCCGTGATTTTCTCGATAGCGACACTTAAAAGTTTGAGCAAAACTGTATCCCCTCTCTTCACCTTGACATGGCTTTCTTGTAAAATGGCGAACTCCCTGTCAAGAAACGGTTGTAAAGCTCCCGAAGCGTCGTCATGTTTAGAGTAGGAACGCAGTAGTTGCCCAAAGCTACAAAAACCGCATCTATCTCGATGGTATCAAAACGGAATCCTGTATCATTAATGTGATTGTATGTCGAGTCATCGTGAACATGTAAATGGTGGAGCTGCAGTGAATTCGCCAATGCTCGTCCAGGTTTTGGCGGTAAGGCTAGATCTGCTGCTTTTCGTTCTTGTTGAACTTCTTCTACCGCTTCACTGCATTCGCTTCGCGTGTTCGAACATCGTTTCACAGCTGCCTGTAGCTCGCGCGATACCACGTTACGTATCGTCTCGATGGTCTTCGGAGAGAGACCATTCTTGACAAGTTGTGCACTCTTTTACTTTTTTCAGCACAATATAACGATGTTCGTCGTGTTGATTATATCCTCATCGATGCTGTTGATGACTGAGTCTTCCTGTGTGTTCATAAAAAAACGAAGAGATCCGAATTGAAGACAATTTTGGAGCTCCGTCTTGAACTTAGCAGCTCTCTCCACAAAGCGAGATCTTCATGCCGGTCGTGTTTGCTATACAATTACGACCTTGTCTTCCAGGTGACTCCAAGCCCATCGCAAATGACAAAGTTCCTGAGCTGCGAATGAACACAGATTAAGTTGAATGACTGACATTTTACATCTCATCCCTAGCTTGCATCATTAGATCTTCGGAGCACGGTTCGGTCAGCCGTTGTCGGTTTGAAATTGAACACCATTTTGTTCCTTCAATGAACACCATTTTGTTGTACTTATGACATTTTTTCGTAAGAGATTACTTCCTCGTGTTTCTATCCAGTTCTGATCGTTTTATTCGCTGAGGATCGGTTTGCCTTGAAGATTTCCCCCCAAGAAAATGGAATAGACGGATGTTATTACTAGAGTGAATTGGCAACTCTTGTATTTTCTGACTCTACACTATCGGTTGGGGCCGGAATAATCAGTATTTCTGCATACGAGAAACGGCCATGAAGCTTTAGCTTGATAATCTGCCCCATCGACAACCTCGTGGTTCCTGCTCCGTTGTTCAAGTTCTAAGAATACTATCGACTCACGAACACTCTATTTTGATAGACCTATTTCCGAGGACACTAGTTCTCTATCCTTTCTAGACTTGTCTTTGATTGATTCTTTTTTAGTTTAATAGCCTTCTGCAATGGTCGCCGATGAGGTTACAAGGGATTTCATTATGTCGTGTCGCCTTTGGTATGCGAATAATCATTAAATGAGCCTCAACCAGTTAATAATATTCAGAGTATAACCTTGGGAACCGAAAGACCAAAAGAAACTGTATTCGTGCGGCTAATTGATAGCAAATGGATTTGAACCAACTTATTATTTTTGGCTGCACCTGCAGACTCCCCACTCACGTATGCATGGGTACATATGCGAGGAGACAGAAGGCATTAGTCGACTCAGCACAGCAGAAACAAGGGATCTACATCTGTACTTGCCCAGGGACTAAGTGGATCTGAATCCATTTAGTCGCTGGGCAAGTACAGTTGACGTCAGGTGCTGTATACTTGCCTATCCGCCACCTGGGGTCGCGCCATGTGACCTACCCACCAACTGCATAGAGATACTAACGGGAGTGAATTTTCAGTGAATATTAGCAATATGTGGTTCGTTCTTAGATTGCTTCTACTACGTACCAAGGTTTGCCACTTATTGAGTGCGAGTAAACTCGTATGATCACCAGCATTTCGGGAATCTCAGCCGATGGTTGGTACCTATCGAATTAATAATACGCGGGCAGCGAAATCTCATTATGATGTTAACATTAGCATGAGAATTAGTAAGTGCCCAACAAAGCAACGCTTGACTTAACCAGCTCAACAAGCCAAAGAAAGATAACGTAGAATCACTGTAGGGAGAACCAACTCTCGAAAGTATTTCTTTCGTTAAGATCAGGAGCAAGAAACTAAACAAGATAAGCATAAACATCATCTTATGTTGATTGCATTGATCTATTCACTCTGAGCTCCTCTATCTCGAAGCTCCAAGTCAAATTTGTAGTGCATGCTTTATTGCGAGAATTCTCCTTCTAAGACTTCATGATCATGGTTTCGTTTTATCCAAAACGATAAAGATCAAATCGTCCACCTGAAGTTCAAATTTGTCACAGGAAGGAGGGGAGCCCTGCGCAAGAAGGGCTGTCCGACGGTATAATTACAGTCTACGCGGAGTAATTCTATTGCAATCCTCCCAGGAGTTACATAGCAAGCTTATGTGGCAGTACTTTTTTGCGACTTCACTTCACTATTGCACATTAGACATGAATGACGTGCACGGCAGATTATGGATTAGCGTTCCCGGAAAGAGCGCCTTACAATTAGACTACTTAAATCAGAACTGTTCCCTTCGATTCTTTGTGAACTTTGCCCTTGAAACTTGCCCAAGAAAATCCGATGACAGAAAGAGCCGACGTCACAAAATCAGCCAGCAAGTCCGGAAAACAGCGTCCAATTGGGTAGTAAGCGAAGAAGTTAGGATGCTGCCAGTGCGTTAGCTGAAAAAAAAGGAAAGTGCGTTATTGCAGTTGCTATTGGAACTCTTTTAAAAAAACAAAGCACAGCAGATATATTTCGAAATCTTGCCATTTCTGAGCTCCCTCAACCTTCTTCCATATGAGTTTATTTTTCCTATCAAGCTTGGTAAGATTATTAATTCTATTTGCAGTATGAGCTTTCCGCACTTAAGGTCTACATCAGCTTCAAAATTACAACGACTGCATATAATCATTTACAACACAATTAATAACTCACAAAAAGGGTTTCCCCTGGGACCCCGTGGCTCGCCGATGGGCCACGCGGTCTCGGGAGCAACCCATTTTCTACGCGAGCTTCACGTTAGATGGAGTGCTATAAAGATGTCATGGAAAAAATGACAAATTATTCATCAAGAAATTGTACGTTTTAAGTTGAGACATCTACTGTTTTTTTTTTGTGTTTGAGAGGAAATGAGTATTTTCTCCCAAATCATGTCCAACCCTTCGCGGCGTGTGAGATTAAGCCCCGACCAAATACTTTAACTGTCTGTCTTGTCGTCTAAAATGAATTTCTTTCTTGATTCTTTGATGGATTAGTTAGAAGCAGACAGCATCGTTGTGGTCAATGGTTCACATCGGTGTGATTAGCCAAGAGACTTCAAAATGAGGATTACACTTTAAAATGCGTACTTCATAATATCCTCTGCCGAATTCCCTATCCAGAAAAATAACTGAATACTGAAACAGAAGCAGTCCGTAAGAGAACTAAAAAATGCACCGGCCACTACAAGGAACACCATAAATAATGCCAAGAACTTTTCAAAGCAGCAAGTAGCACAATTATCATTATTTCAAGTGTCCCCGCAAGTAATAAAAGACAAGCAGAATGTTTAATTATTTAGGCGTTTGAGCTCGATTTAGCTCTTTTCGTATTATCCTTACATCAACCTTTATTTGCAACAATAGAAACCTTCGTTTCTATAGTTGCAGGTACACAATTCCTGGACTACTGCGCCTCCGGACTCTCTAGAGAGCCGTTAACGTAGCTGATAATGAAAGTGTCTAAAAATACAAAAGCAAGCGATAAATAAGAGAACCGTGACTATCCGACGGGTCACACCTTCAGGCATAGTGGTGCCAGCCTGCGCGTCAGTCGTCAATGGGTCAAGCGAATATTTGTTACCAGTTGGTCTTGTCACACTAACGCGTGCGTCATTACAAAGAAGCATGGATAAAATTCATTTGGATAAAAGTTGTCAATAGTCACAATAGTAATCACAAACAAGCCCGGTATGTTATCCACATCCGGACGACGTCACCGGACCTACCCGGAAGATACCATTCGCTACGCACCGTCTTCGATAGTGAGAAACAATATCAGAACATTGTTGCTCGGAACAGCAGAGGCACGGCGGTATTGCTGTGCTCGTCGGTACGCACTTGACCATGAACATCTAGAGAAGCCTTACAACCCGAATAGGATGTTTGCTATTGGGAGGATGTGACCCAATTTCTCCCATAATAATCTTCATTGTCTACGCACCAATCGACCTGAGATGAAGAGGAGTTAGAAGCCATTTTACGGCGCGGAAAAGCCTTGTAGAGAATACCTCATCTCCTTCTTGGTCATCACAGTACTTGTTTTGGGAAAGACTCCCCGACTCCGACTCTCTGCCTATCGTACCAAGCTAAGATTTTTATTGCCTCTACTGAACCGCTAGTAATACTAAAATTGTAAAATTTTTCGATATGTAAATAGCTACAGTATACCTTCTTCCTTCTGATGGACAACGACCGACGGCGGGTTCGTAAACAGAATTTCGCACTTTGATTTTTAAACTCAAACTGCCAGCAAGTTCAGCTGGGTCTTTGCGCAATGTCGAAGTATTCTACACCTCTGCGATAAACGCGCTATCTAGCGTTCCTGGGCGAGCTCCTTATTTCTCACTCATCAATTTAAGATTTCCTGAAATTTTTGCATCGAAGTGCTTTCAAATTGACTCTCCATCCATATGAGTTTGAAACGAGTAACGCAAGAAAGTCTTCGTATCTAAATGCGCTACGTTTTTCTCTTGAGCTTTTCCTCCTAAGTCTAGAAGCGCTTACTCCTGGCATTATTTTCAGTTTAATGTCCTCGAAGATATCGTTGAATGTTTCAGGATTTTCTGGGCAGTTCTTCGGCATTGTGTTGTACAGGAATCCTGGCGATACATCTGAAAATTGGGCCGTTTCCCATTAGCTTGTCATCCCGTTAAAAAGTCACCTTAAAATCGTTGTACCTAAGAGCTTAACGATGTTATTAGCAAACCGGCGGACCACGAGTGAAAAATTGCTAATTACTCCTCTGCTCTGAATGTGTTGCTGCCGAGTTTGGAAAGCTACTCTTCTCGGGCTGTCAAGCTCTTCTCGAGCTAGACAAGTGCTCGTTTGACTTAAGCAATTCAATTCGCGCTAAGAGAACTCGCACGGGAAGAGCTCAGAGAGAATAAGTTTCAGTATATGGAGACCACTTTTGTTAGATGTTTATCCGTTGCCATCTTTAGAGCCCTTCAAGAGGAAGATACGCCGGTAAAGGAAGAGGTAGCAATAAGAATTCACGGGGATATGAGATAACTATCTCTGTTTCATTTGATGCTGCCATTTCAACCAACAAAATTACGGTGACAACGTATGCATTCAACTTATAAAACCCAGTGATCTTTGCGTGGAAAGTGGTGCTCGAAACTTACTTGCGGATTGTGACTAATCCAATTATGCGTTTGATAGCTGTATTCCTATAGT